TCTTTTAAATTATCAAAACTATAATATATTTATAGAAATTTTCTTTTATATAAAACAAATTAAAATATAATATGTAGTTTTACCTTTTTATTATAAAATTATAAATCTTATTAAGTAAGGTTATAGTAATAATATTTAATGAATTATCTAACTCCGAAGTGCATACATTTGATTTAGAGAATAATTCTTTACTAAATTTTGGTGTTTTTGTGTCCTTAGGATTTCTATAGTTCTTTTTTTAAGATTTATATGTTCAAATATTTAGTTTTTGATTAAATGTCTCACTGATATTGTGTATCGATGTATATATAATATATGATTCATGTTGATTCGGAATTACTTTTATTAGGATGCTACAATAATCATGTAAAGCTGCTTCCTGCTTCTCTACCAGATCATTAATGAATTTTATGTTATATCTCTACTCGGTTTATAAGATCTGTTTTATTTGCAGTCAACTATTTGATAGTTTATATTTTAAACATGTAATATGGTGTGGAGTCTTCACATTATCACTGTTTTTATCTTTTGTGTAGTTTATTCATGTTTTGATTTGAATAGTTTATCTAGATATATTCTAACTTGAATTTGATTTATAACTTTGTCATACTTTATTATTTAAAGGAAATTTTAAAAGATGTTACTCATGTGCTATTCATGTTAGCTAAAGTATAAGTAGTAACAATGTATAAATTAGTTGTTATATTTCGAATGTAAAATTACTTGTGTAATATTGTTTTTGTTAATTTTGAAACCAGATGCAGCCAAGATATGAGTCATTATAAATTTAAATAATATGTTTGATTTATAAATTTGTATAACCTACTGTAATTTTATATGGTTATTCATAGTCAATACCAATATTTTAGAAGTTATGAATTTTCTAGAACTAAATTTCAAACTAATTTTCTTATTAGATTTTGTTTTGTGTTATTTTACATATCTTTCGACAGTAATTTACGTCTGGTTTTTGTTAGTTAAACTTTTTTGGTTAGTTCAGCTTTGTGTGTTGATTTTCTAAATAATTAGGTTAAATATCAAGTTTTAGGTGACTTTTTCTTTTGATGTCAAAAAAAAAGATGACCTTTTCTTTTCTTAATTTAACATGAATATTTTTTTAGTAGCACTGATAGTTTTAAATAATAATTTTATATATTTATACATACAATTTAATCTTAAATTTTTTTCTAAATAAATTACTCATTATAAATACATATTTTAAATTTTTTCTTTTTTGAATTAAACTTTTTTGTTATTGATATACATATTTGTTTTTGTTAGTTTAGCTTTTGTGACAATAAGTTTCCATTTTATTTTGACAAATGTTATATATTTGGATTTTTGACGTAATTTTATTTTATCTGTTTTATTAGTTAAACTTTTTATCTTAATTTTCAATTCTTCTATGATAATTTTATATTTTTGCATGTTTTAATTTATTTAAATTATAAATCATATTTAACATTTTTATGTGTAAAGAAAAATTCTGATGTGAACCAATTAGATTGAGTTTCTACGTCATATGTGGACGCTCTCATTGGCCTAAGGCATCAATACGGACCACAACTAATATCTTTTGGGTTAGCAGTTCAGATTTTAATTATTTGTCATGATTAAAATTTTTAAATAGTTTAATTATAGTTTTAAAATACTGTTTTTAATTACTTTTTTCAATACATATGATTTTCTTTAATAATCTATTTACATATGTTAGTTTTTGTTAAAGATATTTATATGTTAATTTACCTTTTATTGTTAATAGAAAAATAAGATTTACTTTATAAACTCTTTCTTATTAATAACTAACTTATAATTTCGAAATTTTCCTAATAACAACAAAAACAAAATAATTAAAATTTAGAAATTTCTCTTATAATAATAAAAACGAATTAATTACTTTTAATATAAAATATATAATTAACTATAGATAATGATGATGTGTACCAATAGAATTGAATCTTTTAAATCTTATATGGACACCGTTAGAAGCATTTAGCATCAATTTTTATTAGTAATAGATAGATGATGTGATGATTTTCTTTTTTTACAAAATAAGTTTAAATAAAAGTAAGAGAAGAAATATAGTATAAAAAATAATTAATATGATGCTATGTTTGGTAAAAATAGAAAGAAAATAATATCTTCATAATTAAATGTTAAATTATATATACATTTATGAAATAACCAATTAATATGAGTGGCATGTGATGTAGTTATTTTTGTAATAAAAGTCTTTTTATAAAAAAAACTGAGAAACTCTATAGTAATAACATATCAGTAAAATATCATCATTGTAATTATTTATAAAAATGAAGATAATCTTTAAAAATATTTTTCAACTAATATATAGGGAATTTGTTGGTATTTGAGAAATGTGTGGTGTAGATAGTAAGAAAATTTGGAGCAAAACTGTGTGGTTCTCTAAGTATTGGAAGGGCAAGGCCACTAATGGTGGAAATGAATTTGGATATGGAACCCCCTTACTATTGCAGAGCTACAGAAGTGTTCATGGGAAAGTTTCAGTAGTTCTCTTATAAATATAGATTTTTATTTAAATAAATATATATATATATATATATCATTTTATTTTTTATACTAAACAAAATAATATACTAAACAAAAAATACTTATAAAAATTGATTTCTACTAAATCAAGATTCCTCTTTCTACGAAAACAATATATACATATATATATATCATTTTATTTTATAATAATTTTTGAACCATCTATACACCTCCTTATTTCAAATGTGACTCGTAAAACATACTTATATTTATCATCATTTGAGTAATTTATATTTATTTGTAAAAAATCAAATTATAATACATATAAAACTATGTATTTTGATTATAAAAATGACGATTGTTTTTCATAAAAATAAGTTTAAATAAAAGTAAGATAAGAAATTTAGTGTAAAGAAATAACTAATATGTTGTTATTTTTAATATCAAATAGAAAAAGACAAATATCTTCATAATTAAATGTAAAATTATATATATATATATATATAGTTTAACCAATTGATATTAGTGGCACATAATGTAATTATTCTAGTAATAAAAATCTTTTTTTAAAAAAGAAACCGTTTTCTCTCCCAAGCGATCCGAAAGACGATCTCTTCCACCCTTCTCTCTCCGTGATTAATTTCTCCGGACGGCGCCGGTTCCAGCGTCGGCTGTACTCTTTCTTTCCTTTCTGTGATTTTAGTTTTTGGTTTTGTAAATAGATTTATGACTTCAATTCCTATTTTCAGAAATGATGTTCTATGCATTTTTGGATTCTGTTTTCTCTTCTTCAAGAGCAAAGTTCCGATGATAGTTTTCCATCTTATTTGGGTCATATCTGTCGGTTTTCGTCCGTTGAGTAAAATCTCTAGCGGTTGGTGGAGTCTATTCAACTTTGATGAATTCAAAACTTCTAAACCGCCTTGGATAATCATCTCTTCCAGATTTGAAGCATGGATCTATGGCTATTTAAATGATGTGTTGGTCTATGTGGCCTCCGGTTTCTGGGGCATTGGGAATGATGTGGTTAGACAAATTCTCAAAATTCAGAAATTCCAATATGCAGAATCGATTAAATTGGATGTGCAAAGAGGCCCCTGGTCTTTTAATGATTGGATTTGTGCTTGGCAACAATGGATTCCTTTTCACATTAACGATGATCTGAAACTCATTCTTTTTGGGTTTCAAGTGAGAGAAATCCTTTTGCAACTCTTCACACTTCTTATGGTGGCTCACATTGAACATATCAAGGGGATTATTGACACTCCTATGCAGTCCCAATCTCTATTCATGTTTGATGGTTTTACATCGGTTCTAAGTTATGACGAGTTGCATGATGAAGATGCGGGTGACCAGAATAATGACCATTCTCCACGGTTCATTATGCGAATGAACCACATATGGTACAATCCACAGCTAAATAGTAACGCTCAGAAGAAACAAAAAACTGCAGTTTCTACCATTGCAATAGAGATGTCGATTATATGTTTAACCACATATTATCAATATTTTTTTCTCTTAAAAATTTTGTTAAGTTTATTTTGGTGGTTTGGAAGACATTTATCATGCCAACAATGCTTAAGAAGACTATGAAAACTTTTAAAGGTATATAAAAGATTTCTACCAAAAGTATCAAGTATATTGATTTTAAGGAAGCAAGAAGATTCAGAATCATCTTCAACAATATTAAATTTATTTTTATTAATTAAAGTAATGCTATGGGCATTTTGGAGTTTCAGCAGCAAGCTGATAGCCAACAAAAAGTGTGTGAAGAGGGGACATAACAAAATTTTTATGTTAGCCTATAAGCCTTTTGTAATAATAGCTAGATTATTTTCGACTTCTTCACCGAAATTGTTTTCAATTTCTTATATTTGCGTATAACGGTTGTTTGTATTGATTCCATTTCTTTGTAAATTCTTGATATTAATATAATTGATTTGACAAAAAAAAAATCTGAAAAACTCTATAGTGATGACATATCAGTAACCACATTATTATAAATTATTACAGTGGTACTATAAAAACTCTATCGTGAATTACAGTTGATATTTAGTGAAATGTGTCGTGTAAATAGTAAGAAAAAAATTGTGTGGTTCTCGCAAGTATTGGAAGGGCAAGACCACTATAATGGTGCGAGTGCTATAATGGCAGAAATGAATTTGGATATGGAATCCCCTTACTATTGCAGAGCTACAGGTACTGTTCACGGGGAAGTTTTAGTAGTTCTCTTCTAAGGAAATTCGTAAAACAACAGTTTCCATTAACATGTACAAAAATTACCGTAGGAATTAAGAAAGCACCGTGTGATTAATTTTATGTAAATATTTTCAAGTAATTAAACGACTTTTGTTATCTTGTTATTGTTTATATAAGATGCTATATGTATGTCGGTGAGTACATAAACTCTTTTTAAAATTAATGTATGTATAAAAATTCAACAACAACAAAATTACAAAAAATAATCATGATGAATGAAGTGATCTAGATGATCATTAAAAGCCCATTGATATTTTCTGCGAACCTGTGCTTCTTGCTCGGATGTGTTCGTTCTCGAGGTTGAAAGTCTTGCGAAGCTCTTCAACAGTTTTACCTGTGAGCATCACATCAACGATGGTCTGACAAGTGAGATCAACGAGGCTTTTGACGTTTAGAAAATCAGCAGCCATCATCATATGGAGGAGCGTCGATTTATCGAGATCATTCATAAACTCAGCGTCCCAATGCTTGAGATCCTCTAGGGAGTAAGAAGACGAATCATCGACGACGGCCACATGTTTCTGGCAATACTCGATCACTAAGGAGAGGATCTCGCCTGTGACGTTGGGAATAAGGATTCCGTTTCCGACTAAGCCATCTTCAATTGTTTGGGCTATGGTCTGCGACTGGAGAGCCACCGCTTCTTCAACCATAAAGTGCATGCCATTGGAGCTTTTTAAGATAATATTCTTCTTCGACGACGTTGACATGGTTCGTTCTTTGTGGGAGAGGTTGATGAAATAAAGTTTGGAATTATAGGATACTTAATCAGTGTGGTGAATGGCACAAAGTTTGAACCTATGCATCTCTATTTATAAGGGTTTTGATGAGTCGGTGATGATTTTTTTCAAAGACCTAACACGATTAGGAAATTTGGAAATATATTTTATTTTCCCAAACAAAAAAGGAAATAAACTTGTACTAGGATTATATCATATGTCCTTTCCCAAACAAAAAAAGGAAATATACAGTCGCTTGACGAGTTATGCTCAGCATACAGTTCCTGTTACGTCAGTTTCATTTTTTTGTTATCAACATGTTCAGACTTGTAAATAATATAGCCAAAACGCATAAATAATTTAAAATACAATTTATTAATCCGTATAAAGATCAATATTTCTATGTCTAATATCAATAATACTACAACAACAACCTACTTTTTTATAACACAAGAACACCTGTTTTTCACGTGCCACTTGCCGATCTCTCATCTCACCCGACTTACAAAAAGTTTGAGACGGTTTTGATGGACACCAGAGAAACCATATGTTTGGAGCTAAATGCGGACGAGACACTTTGAAAAAAGTATTGGATGGGCAAGAGAATTTATAGTGCGAGTGTGATAATGGCTAGAAAATGAAATGAAATTGGATATAAAGGCCCCTTACTATTACAGAACTACAGTAGTGTTTATGGAAAGGTTTCAGTAGTTTTCTTAAAAGGAAAGTCGTGGAGGATTTGGTTTACAAAAAAAAAAAAAAAAGTTGTGAAAAAATTATTTCGGAAACAATATACAATGTAGTTCACAATGAATTTTGAAAAACGATTATGAATAAGTACAAAAATTACGGTAATTAAAAAGCACCGTGAGATTATATATGTAATTTGTTCCAACTAAGTAAGCGGCTTTTAATATTTTGTTGTTTATATGCATTAATTTTTTATATATTACGGTGAATACGTAGTCCTTATATATACTAGGAATAAAACCTCCGCTTTGCGGGGTAATTAATTATTATATATTTAATATTTTAATTTATTATAACAAAAATACATGTAAATGTAATCATAAAAATATATAAATATTTTTAAAAATTATAATTATTAAAAGTAAAAAAGTAAAAAGCTGAATTATTAACAATAAGTTATAAATGAAAATCTACAAACTAATTATGATACAAATATGCAGTTTTTTCAAATAAACTCTCAGAATGTTAATACTAAGAAAAATAAGAAAAAAAAAAGAGTTATAAAATACACAATTCTCTAAATTATTTTTATAGTACTGAAAAAGTTGTATATGATACAATATTATACACAATCCTCTAAATTATTTGTAAGATTATTAAAAGTGAGTATTAGTGAAAAGGTATTTAGCAAAAAATGATAGCAAAAAGGCAAGCTTTCAAAATATTTCTAGAATTGTTACAATTATAAGTGAAAATTACAATTATAAATAATTATGATGAAAACTTACTACTTTCTAAAAAATACTTAGGATTATCAATAGTGGTTATAAAGAAAAATATATATAATATAATAAGATTCTATGAAACATTTTATCGGACTCTTAAGGCTGTTAAGAAAAAGTAAAAAAATAATGAAAAAGAAGCAACTTATTTAACTACAATTGGAGTTTATTTAGATTTAAATAGTTAAAAAGAAATTCTGACATCTGAATCTTAATTTAAAAATTGTTATAGCAATAGACAATATGAATAATTATAAAAATATAGTGTTCAATAATTAATACATAATTTATTTAACAATTAATACATTTTTTTAGATTGATGTTAAATTTCAAACCTTCAGTTGGAGGAAAAGAAACTTTTTTATATGACTAACAAACTTCTGTGATTAAGTTTGTGATGAAAACACGACAAACTAATAATAAAATTTATTAATACAATCTAATAAATAATAAAATGATCATAATTTGTGTCTTTTTATACAGTTACAAAGGTATAAATATCAAAAGGTACAACTTTTCATAAATTAAAAAATATACATAATAAATAATAAAAAGTCGGTTATGATAAAATATGCAATCACAATTAATATTTATTCAATTTTAAAATAAAACATTTAAGAAAATTAATACTTATAAATGAAGGTGTACCTAATGAATAAAAAAAACACAAATATTAATAGCGGTTATGTATTTTTATAATGAAAAGATGCAACTTATTGAAATTCAAATGATATTTATTCAGATTGTTATTTTTAATAAGGAGTTCTGACTTATGGGTCTTCACTTAAATATGATATACCAATAGATAACATTAAATAATCGGAAAGTGTAGTGTTGAACAAATTATTACATATATTTTTAGATTTGATGTTAAATATACTTATTTTTTTTTCAACTTCAAATGGAGGAAAATAAACTTCTTTGGATAAAAATACGACAAACTAATAATAAGCTTTACATATTTTAGTATAATAAATAATAAAAATGATCATAATTTTGTGTCTTTTTACAACTTTTAATAAACAAAAATGTATCTTATAAATAATAAAAATAAAACATGAACTCTAATGACGGTTATGAAAAAAAATATGATGAAAAAACACAATCATAATTAATATTATTCAATTTTAAAATAAAATTTTCAGTAAATTCAAGAAAAACAAATTCAGAAAATTAACAATTAATTATAAATGAAAATGTTCCTAATAAATAAATAAAATACAAATACTAATAGCAGTTATGAAACATTATAATGGAAAGACGAAAAGGCACAAATTACACTTGAGATGAAAAAACACTACTATTTATAATTAAAAAGATATTACTTTTGAGAATAAACAGACACTATTTTCAGTTAGAAAGAAAATACACTAATGAAAAGACGCAACTATAAATTTTAAAATGACACGACTTACTAAAATACAAATGTAATTTATTCGGATTTCTATTATTAAATTCTTGGCCAACAAGATTTTTTGCTTAAAACTGAAAATATATAACTGTTTTCTGTGTTTTGATTTGTCAATTGTCATCATTATAAGTAAGAAAGTAAAAATCAGACACAAGTGATTATAATAGATAGATAAAACATATATTAAATATATACTAAATGAAAGCACTTGTTTGGGGTTTCTAAAGCTAGCCACCTCAGCAAAAAAAAACTATCTATAATCATGCCACATCAGCACAATTTAAATAAAAATAACTCTTTAATATATTTATAATATAATTAAAACAAAATAGTATTTAATCAACAATAATAATAATACTTGAATATTGATTAAATTGTATATACTGTAATAACAAAAAAAATATGACATATAACCTGATTTTAACAAAAAGAAAAATTAGCTATATGTTTAATATTTAAAATTTTTACAGCCCAAATTAATAATAATCACACGTTTAAACTAAAAACCGATAAAATATAATATTATGAGATATGAAGTTCGTCCACACAATATTAAAAAAAAACTCTGATTTTAGTTTTTTTTGAAATACACATAAAATATTTTAGAAAATAAATTGCTCCAAAAAAAATTAAATAATAGCTAATAGAAACAAAGTTACAAAATAGTAATTTCCAAAACAAAACTGAAAACATTCACAATTTTTCTACAAACAAAGTTACATCTTTAATCATCCACATCAACAAAAAAGGAATTCTTTACAAACTCAACATGTAAAAAAATTAATATAATTTTTTGGGGGTTTAGAAACTCTTTTTAAAATAATATGATATATATTATTAATTTAATTATAAAGACTCATCAAAATATATGTGTGGTGTAAGAAAAATACATAAGTTAAATTACAACCAAATGTAAATGAATCTTTTACACTTTTTGAGTTTTGAGAAACTGGACATACTTTGTTTAATAGTATGAGTTAGTATAAAGTTGTATTTCTATATGTATTTGCTTTATTCATCTACAAATTCTATAGTTTACAGATGCTCCAGGGATCAAATTAAAATTGCAGTTTATCAATATGATTGTGATTTTGTCTACTATGTAAATGTTTTTTCTTTTATATGAACAATAGTTCTTTTAAAGATTTGTAAGAGTTTTATATATTGACTGTTGTTTTGTATTTGAGACTGCTAATGAAAAACAAAATTACACGTACATAATTGAAAAGAAATCTAAATTAATTGGAACAATAATCAGATGCTTCAGTTGTAGTTATATGTTTGATAAGTTATTTTCTTTTTATTTAAAATGTAAAAAATGAAAAAATGTTTCAAATTAAATAAAAAAAAACTTATAGTTGTTGAATTGAGTTATATATCAAATTTAGTTAAAATAAAATTAATTTTAATAGTATTTTGAAAGTTTTTGTACGAGTTTATATACAGAAATATTAAGTTTTGGATTGACAGTTGTTTTTCACATATATCAGATTAGTAAAGTTTTAAATTAAATCAAAATACATTTTTAAATATATTAAAAATATTTCGATGTATAATCAAATATTATATTTAAAATATTAATTTAAAATTAAAATAATTTATTTTAAATAATCAGATATTTGTAAAAACAATCCGCGTGTAGCGCGGAAACATCCCTAGTAAAGATAAAAAAATGTTTGGCTCAGTAGAAAGAAAACACAACCCTTAAATTATTAGATTCTATTTTATATAAAAGAATGCTCACATAAAAAACTTTCATTATTTCAGAGCCTATTGTAATAATAGATCCATTATATTAAGAAAAATAAAGTTAGACCTAAGAAACACATTATAGTAAGAAAGTAAAAATTAGACCAAAATATTGTTTTCTGTAATTTTAAGCGATATAAACAGTTTTGAGGAGACATAAATTATAGTTAATGAAAAAACGCAACCATTTATAATGAAAACATGCAACCACGATTTTGAAACGACACTACTTATCGAAGTGCAATTGACATTTATTCATATTATTATTATAGATAGCACTTAAAACTGAAAATATAAAACTGATTTCTGTGTTTTGATATGCCACCGGTCGCAAGTAAAAATCAGATTCCAAATGATTA